GGAAGCGCAGCAGCGAGAGGACCTGCCGCCACACCCATCGGGTCGCCATCGGTCCGGAGGTGAGATTCCTGACCAATGCGCACTCCCTTCCGTAGCACCTTACCACCGTTGGCGGCAAGAGCTGTCTGGGAAGGAGTTGGCATCTTTTCCCGAAGGCTTGGCTCCACCTCTTCCAATCCACCGTGCTGCTCTTTCCCGTCGTCTGGCTTGACAACAGGAGGAGCCGCGCCGGTAGTCTGAATGAGTTCCCCCTTCTTGTCTCTCAAAGAGAGGGACATACGAGCTTCGCGCGCAAAGCTCTTGCGGCCATCCTCTGTCTTGAGGTTGTGTCGCGCAAGAACAATGTCACGATGTTCGTCCCGAAGAAGACGGGAAAGGGACATTGTCGGGTAAAGGCGGACTTGATCAAATCGCCGAACAAACGACTCCGTACCGCTTGCCACCAGTTCAGATTCTAAACCGGCGACAAACGGTCCTGGTCCACCCAGGGGATCAGATGGCGAGCCAGCCGCGAGGGCTGCGCGCCGAAACTGACTCACCCCGTAGTCACCATAGGTCTGGTCTTGATCAGCAATTGCCTCCAACCGCTCTGCCTGCGTACTCGGCGGTCGAGGCTCGTACGCGCGAGGCGGAGGCAGCTGGATCGCCTGCATGACCAAGCCTTTCTTGTTACCCTTTTTGGATCCCGTCGACTGGCTCCGAAGATCCTTGTCCGAGAGTCCTTTCTTGGAACCGCTCTTAGACGAAGGCGCTTTCGGGCCCTTGCCGTCGACCCCTTTCGGAGCAGAAACAGAAGAGGCCGTGGAACCCTTCTTCCCCTGACCATCCTTGGCCCCGACATTGGACTTGCCCTTAGGATCGGATTTGCGTTCCGGTTTCCCTTTGGGTTCGCCCTTCCTGTCGGTTTTCCGAGCCTTAGCAGCAGGACTTTCGGAAGACGAGGAAGATGGGTCACCATCGTCGCTGCCGTCGTCATCTCCCTCACCATCAGGTTCCGGAGGACAACCAGCAGCGGCCTTTTTCTTCTTTTTCTTATTAGCTTTCCATTTAGCTTTTTTCTGTTTCCGGCGCAGTGCACGCAACTTTTCTGCTGCTTTAACGGTGGTTTTGCTGGATGCCGCCGGAGCCGACACCGATTTCTTGGCGTTCGGCTTGGCCGGCTTCTTAGCATCCTTGCCCTTGGATTTCACCTCAGGCTTCTCCTCTTTGCCTTTGGATTTCACCTCGGGCTTCTTCTTCTTCTTGTCCTTCTTCGCCTTCTTCGAAGAAGCGGACACAGGAGCCGAAGAACCACCGTTACTTGGAGCAGGATCGCCAGGAACAGGAGCTGCCTGATTCTCAGCTTCCTGTTTCTCAGCTTCCTTTCTCTCCCTTTTCCGGGCCCGCTTCTTTGCAGTCCTGCTCATCTTCTTATTCTCAGCTTCCACAGACGCATCCGGAGCCGGAACTGAAGAATTCGCGGAAGAAGCGGTGGCTCCAGATCCTCCCGGACCAGTCGTGGTGACCGGTACAGCGGTAGATCCGGGAGCCGCCGGAGCAGCAGCCGCAGCAGCTGCGGATCCTGCCGGACCAGTCGGCGTGACCGTGTCAACAGCAGATCCTGCAACCGCCGATGCGGACGCAGCAGCACCGGTTCCAGCCGGACCAGTCGTGGTGACCGGTACATCTGCGGACCCGGTGGCTGCCGGCGTAGCAACTGCATTTGCTGGAGCAGAGCTCGCAGCAGCGGAGGATGACGAAGCCGCGGCCTGAGCAGAGTCTGCCGGAGCATCCCCTTGCTTCGCCTTGGCCTTCGCCCGCTGATTAGCTTTGTTACGCTTGCGCTTCGCGCTTCGCTTCTCAGCCTCCGACTTTTTGTCCAACTCATCCTGGGAAGTCCCCGGGGGGTTACCTTCCGCAGGTGCCACTGCGGCGGTTCCTCCAGCCTGCGCTCCGCGGTCCACCGAGGTGGTCCCGGAGGGGGCCGACCCAGAGGCTGCTACCGTTGTAGCGACACTCCGGGCGGAGGAGGTGCCGAGCGGGCGAGACGAGCTCGCGTCGTCGAACAAATCTTGTCCATCCGTGGTCTCCTGATCGACCGGTGCAGGCGGCGGAGCCGCACCTCCTGACGGAACGGACGGTGGTACGATACTTGCTGGCTCGGTGATGAGGTCCAGCAGACCGTCAACGGAATCCTCCCGCCCGTGATCCACTTCCAGCAACGACACGTTACCAGTCGTGGACTCCGGAGCAGGGGGTTCCCGTTGGTTCCCTTGTCCAGTCCCCGAGGGAACCGGACTTTGACCCGGGGGGTCGGGCGCCGGGTGCGCCGAGGAAGAGTCGGGACCGTCCGGCGGCTTGCCGGAGGTTCCGTCCGAACCTCCCATTATTTTTTTGAAAACTACTTTCCAAGAAGAAATTTTGATTGCTTTTAGGTCTCTCAACCACCGCTGTGAGGAAAATTCAAAGAGAAAAGGCAATGCTGAATGTCGAAATCAGGAAACAAAACAGAATTTAGTTCTGAGATCTAGATTTCAATTTCAATTTGTGGAATGAGATCTAGATTTTTGAAAGTGGAAAAATGGATCACATGTGAGTCGCGTGAGATCTTTGTGGGCAGAGATGGAATTTCAATTTCAGATCAAGGAGGCCACTACCGAAGTAGCGACCCCGGAACAGCCCCCAATTTGAGTATTTCGCGGGAGACGCCTCGGGGAGAACCTATAGCCGAATAGGCCAGGTAATCCCCAAGAGTCTCGGCACACGGCCATCAGGATCCTATTTGCATTTCCATTTGATTCCTTCGGAGATCATAGATTCTGATCGCAGTACCTCGATGGATACAGGATAGATCCCAGATCTGACGAATTCCTCATTCTACGTGCCGTGCCCGGTCCCCGGTCCAATCGTCACCACACAAGGTGGGCCTGATCGGACCAGGACCAGCGGGTCACGGTCGTCTGGGAAAAACAAAAACAAAAACCAGGTCCTCGTGCGCACGAGTCCACGAGAACGTGGACCTTCGCGACGCACTCGGACTGAGTCTTCGTTTGCTGGACGGATCCGATCCGTCCGGCGCGAAGCGCGGACGGTCCAGTTCCATCAAACGCTGAGCCCGGCAACCGGGCGTCTACGATCCGTAGACAGCCTGGCACGCAGTGCCAGCATCCTGTGTCTGGGGCCAAGCCGTCCAGCGCGAACGCACGGACAGCTCAGCACCGTCAACTAGACGCTGAGCGCCGCCTCCAGGGCATCTACGATCCGTAGATCGCCTAGCACGCTAGGCCAACGTGGAAGTTGTGTGCTTTCGGTCCAGGATCCGTGCGCGTGAACGCCGGTTCCCGTTCCAGGGCACGAAAGGTGCATGCAACCGCATGCTCGTACACAGGGATCCAAGCACACGAGCGTGTACTCGGACCACCCGTGGGAGGGTACGCGCAGACAGCGGTCCCGACGCACGAGACGTGCGAGACCGGAGTCCGTGCGTGGCGGAGGGAAGGGCCACACGGCTGAGGACCGGTTGCCCGACCCAGGGGATCGAAAGGCAAGAGGGGTATGGGAGTGCAGGGTGGTCGGGAGCCTTGGACCACCAACAAGGCGCAGGTCATTTTCCTCGGACCTAGCGATACGAGCGTCACTGCCCCTCTCACGCAGTGACGGATCCCAGCCTACCTGGCGAGTGAGCCCCGAAGGGCCACAAGCCGTCTTCAACGACCCCGGACGGTCCCGAAGGACATCACGGACAAGCCGAAGCGCTGAGTCTCGAACCGGGGCGCCACCGTAATAGCGGTGACGCCTCCCTGCCTGGACCAACCCGAAGTCGTAGCGGATGGTCACGCGACAGAGAGTCAGCTGCCACTCCGGACGAGTATCCCCAAGGGGACACATCGCCACAGAGGCCCGGCACAGCCGACGACTTTCCGGGGGACAACTGAACCGGTGAGGCCAGGTCCCGTCGGGAAGCAGGGTAGAAACCGATGTAGTTTCCAGCCATCAACAAACAGTTACCGATCTGGTGTTCCATAACGGGGAATTGTTAACAACGAACCGGACAAGTCCGGACGAAAACAATAACAACGAACCGGACAAGTCCGGACGAAAACAAGGATCGATACACCGACTGGCCACGGCAGGAGGCGACCCTCCTGCCGTTGCCGGCAAGTGAGTCAAACCTTCCCCCGTGGATCACTAGAGCTAACTGGAGCCAAGGCTCCCCGCATCGACGGGCTGCATCACGTTCTGGTTGTCATGCCCTCCAAGACGTCGGACTGAAGGACTAGGACACGCACTTGCGGGTCAGGCGGACGACCCGGTACCTAATGTTTGGGTTATTTTATATCCGTGAAGCCCCAGCCAACGCTTCCACGGCGTCGTGCCCTCCAACATACGGCACGCCCGAAAAAGGAAATGTATCTACCTATCGCAACAAGAAAAACACAAGAAGATAACAAAAATCCCTCTCAGATTGATTAAGAAACCTAATTTGACTTGCTCCATGGCTGGACTCGGAGTGCCACGCGCGTCCATGAACCAGTGCTCGCCACAACTCGCAAAGGCGAGTTGTGGCGTGTCCTGATTCCAAAGACACAGACCGCGACCTGCTCTGGGTCAGCACATCAAAGGTTATCATCATGATGAGGGAAACTGCTGCTACGCAGCCAGCAATTCTAGATTGCTGCTGCGCTGGCCGCAGCCACTGCGAGCCTGAAAGCCAGGCTCAAACAGTGACTCGCAGCCAGGGCAGATACAAATCCGCTGCGCGGGGGAAGTAGGATGTTCCTCTAGGTCTGGTGCCAGCCTGTTGGTCTTCCTATCCGTGCCGCAGAAACTGCAGCCCGGTCTGGAAGCCGAAGCGTGTCTCATCCTCGGAACAATCCTTCTTCCGCCTCCGCGGGCAGGCAGCAAGATGCAACACATCAGACTACAGCTCCAATATTTTGAGTCTTCCTCGTCCCTAACGCCATGAAGGCCTCGGGACTCGGAATAGCGTATATTTTTGCTGGTCATCCTTGTGTTGCACCTCGCCGCCCGCTTACGGGCAGCTGAGGATCGATGGAACTGACGTTCCTGGCGTCTCCAGCAGCTCGTCAACGCGGATCCGCTTGCGCGGACCGCGGACTCGCTGCGGAGTTCCAAGGAACCAGTTTCCAGGCTGTGCTTCAGTCTGCAACAGAGCCTCGGACTCCGCCTGTCACGTCGCCGCGGCCGCCGAAAGGCAGCCTGCGGGACGGACGGCAGAATTCGAAGTTCTGGAGACCGTGCAGCAGCTCGCGTCCAGGATGGACAGTGAGCTTCTGCATCGCAACAAAGGTGAGAGCTCCACACCTACCCGTGGGTGAACCACGGGACCGGATAAGAACTGCTCGACCAGCTGTTCCACGTTCCTTCCGGGCCCAGCAGCGCGGATCCACCGAGGTGGACCACGCGCGCGGACCTGAAAGTACTTGTAGAACGGCTGGTGCGCAGCCTCCTCGACCAGCCGTTCCGCGTTCCCCTCGGTCCCGTCGACACAAGCTCACCGAAGCAAGCCTGCGGACAGGACCAAAGGTACTAGCAGCTACAGCTAGTCTCGGAGGGCGCGGACGTCTTCTTGCGCAGCAGGGGCGCCCAACACCCTGCTGCGGACCACGGAGGGACCAGTGTTCTCACTGGAGTCCAGCAACCGAGGTTGCCGGACTACCAGGAGTCTACCGGTCCCGTGCCCGTGGCACGGGATCTGCACTGCTTTTTGCAGGTTTACCAGTTCACCACGGTCCAACGGCGAACCGTCGGACCATGGGAACCAGTGACTTCTGCATTTGCAGCACAGAATGTTGCTTCTGCAGGTCTGCGGCTCGCCACAGCCCAACGGCAAAAGCCGTCGGACAGTGGGATCCTGCAGGCCGCGCTTCTGCAACAAGAGCTGCTGCTTCCACGGGTCCGCAGCTCACCGAGGTCCAACAGCAAAAGCTGTCGGACGACGGGAGCCGGTAGACCGCGCTTCCGCGACAAGCGATGCTGCTTCCGCAGATCCGCGGCTCACCGGAGTCCAACAGCAAACGCTGTCGGACAACGGGAGCCTGCAGACCGTGCTTCTGCAGCAGGAGATGCTGCTTCCACAGATCCGCGGCTCACCGGAGTCCAACAGCAAACGCTGTCGGACAACGGGAGCCTGCAGATCATGCTTCTGCAGCCCTCGGTGCTGCTTCTGCGGGTCCACTTGCTCAACCGGAGTCCAACGGCAAGTGCCGTCGGACAACGGGAGCTCGTGGACCGCGCAGCCGCGGCACGAGGAAGTTGGTCGTCTTTGTTTACCCCGCGGGGGCGACCAACGCCCGCGGGGTTTTCCCATGACCGGACAGGCTTCTGACCGAGGTCAGAAGCCCCTTCCGGGCTAGGCCGAAGCCCAGCACCGAAAGCCTGCTTGACCCTCCGCAGCCTGCTGCCGCAGGCGCGTCGGGCAAGCCTGGTCCTGGCGTAGGCCACACCTGTATAGCTACACGTGTTCGTCGTTACCTGGAACACCTACGACAGACTCAGCCGACACAGGTCATAGCCGAAGCGTTACCGCAACAAGCTGCTGACCAACAGCCGGGAATCAATGTAGGGCTCGCAACAAAACGAGCGTGCCAAACACTTTATGCGCTTGAACCTAACCGATACCGTCGAGCGTAGTGCGCTGCGGGAAGCGACTACAAGCAAAGAAAGACGGTGGACACTTCTTGAACGCTTGAGCCAGGAAAGGTGCCTAAACTCTAGCAAAATGCCCAGGGGCACTTTCCTGGCACGGGACGAAATGACCTGTGCTTTTGTCGAGCATGCTGGGAATGCCGTCGATGATCCACGGCGAGCCATCACTGCTTGCGGAGGCGACAGAGCGTGCAGGGGAGTAAGGCTGAGACGGCCATCGACCATTATTCTGCTCGAGTATCTCGTCTTCGCTTGGGCGCCCACCGCGCCGCGGGGACGCGTCCGCGAATCCCATTGTACTAAAAGTTTGAAAGGAATAGAGACACGCGCGCCAACGAAGGAAGACGAAGCGCGACCACGCGAACGCAAGAACAAATCTCCGAGGCAGTCGCATGCCGCCACCCGCAGGTGAATGAGTTTTCTTTTTCACGGCGTCAAAAAAATACTCGTTAAAAAATCCGGTTCCGTGATTGAAAAAATACAGCGTAGTCATGAGCTTACACTAACTTGTTGTAGATTTCAGGAAAACAGTTCGGTGTGATCGATCTGTTTTTGATTCCTTCAGCGATCACAGGCGCATTCACCTCGACCGCTTCTTTGTCGAAAAAAGAAGCGTTAAGCTTCTTGGACTCTGTGTACAACTTGTCCAGCTTCCCGGCCGCGTTTTTTGGTAGCTGCCAAATCCTGTTCAACTCGACTAGCACCGAGATCTGTGCGGACCGTTTCGCTGCGTTGTTCGTGAATTCATTCACAAGACTAAAAAGGTGATTATGTTTGATAGGGGCGTAGGTTCCGTCGAGGCACAAGCTGTTGCGCCAGCCTCCTTGTGCGAATGCAACTTCGCCACGGGGATCGCTGTCGCGCAGGAATTGCGCACCCGAGTGTCTGAGCGACACCGAGCCGTTGAACGGCTTTCCGCCGCGAGCAGCGACAAACTGCTCCTTCACGTGGTTCCGGACGAAATCTTTGCTGATTTGCTTCCCCCGAGTTTTCGCATTGTTCGTTCCGATTACGAAGAAAAACGGGTGTGATGGTTCCGCAAAGACGTTCCTGGTGTGGTGGGCGATGAAAGCCGCGGCCCACTTTCTCCACAGAGTGAGGATTGGGGTTACTAGGACAGGGAGGACGCAGAAGGACTGCCGCCCGAATCTGTCGTTCTTGGCGAAGCGTGTCCGCAACTCGTAATAGTAGCCAGCGTCGGATTTGTGGATTTTCACGTCACCGTACTGGATGTCGCGGATTTCCGCGTTCCGCCTGACTCCGAAGAAGCCCGTCACGATGATGCAGGCATTCTGGAGCGCGATGGCTGCTTTCAGCTTTGCAGTTACCGCTTCAGCTTGTCTTCCGATTTTCGCCGATCCAGCAGGAAGTCCGAAATCATCAGCGGGGGAAAACGCCGGTGGGAGGTGACTATCCCAGTCGATGTGGCTGTATTCCTTCTTGAAGTTGCGAAAAGCCTGCTGCACGGCCAACATGACGTGTTCGAATTTCAGCGGGATTTTCCTGGATGTTGGGGCGTGGAAACTGCTGTTTTTGAATGCACGCCAGATCCGGTAAAAGAATAGTGTCTTGTCCGAAAGACTGTACCCCTGCAGATCGGGGCGCGTGCTGTTATACGCGTTGATCGCCGCTTGGAGGGTTTGGAATGAACCCCAGCGGATCTTTCCGTCTACCAGTCTGTCCTTGTGGTTTGTCTTCATCACATTTTGGTAGATGCAGAGGAAGGCGATTGCTTGCTTTTCCGACTGGATCGGCCAGATTACTTTCCCTGCTGCGAGACAGACTTCCGGAACGACCGTGTTCAAAACTGATTGGTAAGTTTTTGCTGTTGATTCTGCGATTGATTTTGCGCTAAAATCGATTAACTGAATAGAGATTAGTTCCTTGACGTCGTCGCTGAGCGGGAGTTCGTCGAAATAATCCGATGCCCGTGGAAATAATTCCAGGTCGAGTACAGTTACACCAGGTGCGTAGTGGTCCCACATCTTCGCCGCGGCGTACACTCGCGCTTGGTTCGCGAGTGAAAGATCATTTGTGAGGATTTGCGACAGCTGGTTGGTGAGGTCTATGTCCGTTTCGGACAAGGAATTCTCGTCAGCCGTCGTGAAGTTGTATTCGTCGTTTTCATCATCCGAAACCCACTCGTCGACCTGCGCTGCGGCTGTCGCTGTGCTTGTGATCGACGTGCTGCAGCCGACCGGGGCCTGTAAGCTCGCGCTGCTGGTAGCGCTACTACTACTGGCGATGGCTGGGTTGAAGGGGGGCGATTCCTTTATTGCGGAGATTAGCACCTCCGTTTCCTCGTCAATGGAGGGAAGTGGTTCTTTTTTGGACTTTTTCGCGACTGGGCCTAAGGCCGGAGCGGCTA